CAGTTGTAAAAGCAAAGGACTTATATATATATATATATATAAATGATAACGTTTGTTTGTTTAAACAAAGGATAATTAACACATACAATTTAATTTGTCTTGGCAGGAAAACGTCTTTAAATTTTTAAGTTATACTGTAAAAATTATTACTACTGTATTACTATTATTTTTTTCTCTTAAAATTTAGTTGTTACATATAATGACGAAAATATTTTTCTCGTCATTATATGTAACATTTCCTGAAAACAGAAACTCAGAAACAAAACTCTAACGTAGAGTTTTTGTTTCAGTTATGTTTTCGTTTTAAATTGACTCCACTAAAAATGCGCCATCTGTTGATCGGTACTGTAATTGACAGTGTTCTTCTCAACTTACTGGAGTGGGTAAATAAACTATCACACATAAAACCTTTTTAACCAGTAATTTATAACTGTTATTTTAACGTAATTTATAACTGAAATTAGATAATATTTTCTATTTGAAGTGTTCTAACCTTTTATCGATATTGGACGTTGCTTCGTCCATTACGAGAATTTTATTCCGGCGAAGAATGGTTCTGGCCATACAAATTAATTGTCTTTCTCCCACGCTGAAATTTCTCCCTCCTTCCGTTAAGTGCGTATCCAATCCTCCAGGTAATTTACTAATAACTTCTTTTAACTGTACCTTTAATTCAGATGTTTTTGAAAGTATATAGAAAATAAATAAGTTTAATCATTAAAAAAATTAGAAAGAAAATCAGGAAGCAAATTGAAGTATTAATTTAATTTTAACCTCTTCTAAGACTTTCCACAGCGTTTCGTCTGAATATTCATTGAAGGGATCAATGTTCCTTCGAAGAGGACCGGTAAACAACATCGGATCCTGAAAAAATATGCCGTGTTAATCTCTTCTTTTTACAATAATTTTAAATATTAAATAATATGCGTTCCAACTACGACAAACGTAAATATAAAAAATACATTATTTCAATTATTATCTTAGAATACGCAGCATGCCTATATCAATAATGCATAAGGGATGCTACGATTGTCTCTTTTCACTACTTGTATTAAAGCATATGATATAAGTTTGAACTTCCAACAATTCAAATCGACTGCTAAGAAATTAAGGAATTAATATAATTTTCATCTTCTGATTTTTAATTAATTATGAAATTGGTAAAATGTCATTAATTTGGAACATGAAGAATTAGGATATTGCCAAATTATAAAAAATAACGAATTATCGAGAAATGTGATCCTCTGGCATCATTAATTAATCAGACAATTTAAACTATCGGTTAATTTTCAGACAGATTTGAACACTTTTTGGCTGTAATCGTTCGAATTCAGAAGTCACAGAAATTTATCGATTACATGTAATTAAATTTATTTAATTAATTAAATTTATTGTTTATAATTAAATTACATATAATTATAAACAATAATTGTTGTTAGTATATAATTTATTTTCGTTAAAATTATATGTTTTTTCTATAAAAAGTAAATTTGTTAATTAATGGTAAATATTTGTAGTTACAGTACTTCCCAGTGACACATTCGATAAGTCCTCTGGGAAAGGACGTGAGTCAGGGGAGAGAGATGCGATCATCCTCCGATAATTAAATTGAAAATTATATTTACACTGGGATTTGAACTAATTTAACATTTCAAAGACAAAATTTTTCAGAAAAAAATTTCAAGTCCAACGCTCACATTTCTGTGTCACACTTCAACTTAAGGCTGTCGTTGTTATTACCAATGTGTTATTGACCTTACCAATAAACTCATTGGTTTTTTGGTCATTTCTGCGTAGTACAAAGACTTTTTAATATTAATTCAACGATAGGGATTTTGCCGCCCATAGCAAAATGTCACCCGGAGAGGGGGCGCTTAACTTAAGAGTGGCGTAGCGTAGGGAGTCTTTGCTCACCTACGCTACACCACTGTTAAGTTCTGTTGCGTCCACAACAGCGAGGTACACGAAAAGGAATAGGACTCGAAATATCTGGAACACACCACCCATGAAATAGTTTTGTGTACTTTACTTTGTTTTGATAAGATCTCTGGCCCATGCAATAATAGATTAACACCTACAGAGTTATACAATCCAGATGAAGTACATCGACGAACAATATATTTTATCATATTTTAAAAATTAAAATTTTACGAATGAAAAAAAGAAAAACATTTTTACATGAAAGACATGAATATTATAAACCACGAATTATGTTGACCGAATATTAGTGTTTATTTACTTGAGGAATGATGGATATTTTACTACGTAGATCTCGAAGACCGATTTCCTTAGTGTCGATTCCATCGATGGTGATTGTTCCGGTTGGCTCTGTCATGCGAAATAACGAAGCAATTATAGAACTCTTTCCAGCTCCTGTTCTCCCGACAATTCCTATCTGCAATTAATAAATAATAAAAAAAATTACACAATAATTACTAACAATGCCCTTCTGATTTGCAGACATTTTACCTTTTCTCCCGAGCCAATACGAAAAGTCAAATTCTTTAAAACAACGTTTTTATCCTTGGAATATTGTAAAGAAACATTATCGAAATGAATTTCTCCTCTTTGGGGCCAGTCCGAGAGTGGTCGTTTTTCGGGCAAACTTTCGTACGAGGCTTCCGATTTCAATTTGCTATATTTCAAAATGCGCTTTACTGAGTTCATCTGGAAAATTTTCGTTTTATGAAGTAAAGCAGACGATAAAACTTGTTGAGGTAACAAAATATATTATCCGAGAATATATATTATTAGGAGATTATATTATATGCAGAACCTCAATGACACTAATGATTGGAATATTTTTATTCGAAGTGGTGTGGTAAACATCTTTAGATTTCTTGTCGTGTATGTTAAAGTTTAACATACACAACAACAAATCTAAAGATGACACCAAATTTAAACTTCAACAGTTAAACTTTCAATTTGATGCCATCTGGATGAATTTTTTGAGCAGATAAGAATTGGTTGTTTTTAAAAAAATGTTGAAATATAGATACTTCGCAATTGTTGACGAGACTGTCTTGTCTATAAAATCGCGCTGCTGTCAACGACTGGACACCTTCGAGGTATGAAGGAATACGGGTCAGGAGTTTCAATTTGTTACAGAATGTTTGGTGCCCAAATCTTGCACACATAAAAAACAGACTTGTAGGAGGTCGGGGGACCAATAACCGGGTCAAAATAAAATAAAAAATGGCGACACTATTTCTACAAACAGGCAAAGTGCGAGTTTTGCATATGCGTTGCTCGTTGAAAAGTTCAAAACGAGAACGTTGAGAGATCGAATTCTGACAAACGTGTGACTCTCGTTACGAATGTCTTCTCTCGCTCTCGTTGTTTCGCAAAATGGCGAAAACATTGGGACAATTCGGGTACAAATATCTCCCCGCGTTTCGTAGCCAAAAACCTGCCCGTTACAACACAACTCGTCGTAACCACGGTAGGCTTTCCTCATTGGTTAGCGCTGATCTTTCTGTTTCTTTTAGAAAACGGTGCACAGTCGAGCCCTGCATCTCCGAGACATAAACCCTTTTCAAAAAATGGCCTTGCCGTTTTACGTGTTTTAAAAATGATTTTTACAAATTTGCACGATAATTAAATTTTTTTAAAGAAATTTTGTTGTTTATGTAGGTTCAAAAGTAACCATGAATGGGCAAAACTTAATGCGGTTTTCTTAACTTCGAGAAACTGCATTCTACTAGTAATATACATATACTAGGCTTAATGTAACAATTAATTATTAAGTAAATGATTACTACTTTTTTAAATAAATAATACCAGAATTATCAAACCAACATTCGGATTCATTTAATGGACTTTATTTTATATGTTGGACATAAAAGTACAAAAACGTGTGCTGCATTACCATAAGAAGATTCTCTCTTTCAAGAAATTTATCTTGTTCGAAAAATTGGATATAGTCTAATAAACCAATTGGCTGTTCGTTTGATAATTGTTTTAATTATCGCGTTGTTTAGATATGCAATACCTGAAATTCCATTTCAGATGTAAATGCAATAAGGTGTTGAATAATGAACATTATTATTATTCCGTAATTCAGTATAAGTCCAATTTTGCTTCCTGCGTCACCTAAAGCAACAAATATAAATTCAAAAATATTCATATTATAGATTTTAGACATTTGAATATATTCACCCACCTGAATTATTTGAAACAATAAAAATAATAACAGTAATAATTAGATTTATGAAAGAAATTATGTGACCGTATATTACAATCCATCGAACTAAACACACGTAAATAAACAACTTTGAAGTATGCTTATCCTGATACTTATTAAACATAGATTTAAATTTGCTTTCAGCTTTAAATGCTCTAATTGTCGTCAGTCCGTAAAGCGATACACTCAGATGAGAAAATACTGGACTTCTCACTGTCAAAAAAAATTTNCAAAATATGCTCAACATGGCTAAAAAAATATACATCCTGATATTCTGTAATATCATCCTCTCTGTATTTTAAAAATTTAGTTTTTAAATTTATTAAAAATTTTCTTCTGCAAACAAACTTATCATTAGCTAAAATATTATAAACACTAGATGTTATTTTTTCAAAAAAGACAGCAGGATCAATATTTTCTAAAATAAGCGATCTATAAGTTTTAGCATATCCTCTGAAAGCATTTTTCCTTAATATAAAATTAAACATTTTTATCCAAATGTTCGTTCATTGCTTCGAAGGCCTTCTTATAAAATTTAAAGTCTTTAACGTTAATATTGTATCTGTTAGGAGGATAGTTTTATTTTGTCTTTATTAACGAGATATATACGACAGAGTTGAATTCTATGATCTCCATAATTTGATTAGTACAAATTTTGATTTTGAATGGGTGAATTTTCGAAGATTTGGCATTATCTACAGATAAGTCTAAGTCAAACTTTAGCTTTTTCGACTCGTAATCTTCGGTATTTCTAGGTTTTGGCCCTCTTTTTTTACCAACACTCTGTTTCACATTAAAATCAAATTCACAGTCTAAAATTAATATTATATTTATTAAATTAGTTTGTCTAAACATAAATTAGGTTTCTTCATTTTAAAAATTGCGAGATTATCGTTTATAATTTGAAATTGTTCTACAGATGGTTTAGATAGATATCGGCGATATTGATTTAATGTTGTA